CCCCCGAGAGCAAATACAACCCTTAAAACCTCTTCTTTTTAAAAAGAAATTTTCACAAAACTCCAAAATAAAAAACCACAAAGCAAATGCCAGGAAACAAAAGCCCAAAAACAAAACAAAACAACTCTCGTACCTTTTTCCCCAAGCGGATCTTCCAATAATCCTTCACGGCAATAAACTTGGCGCAATGTGGTACATCTAGGGTGCGCTCAAGGGTACGCGGGCTATTTTGTCTGTGTTCAATCCTGTGTGAAGAAGCGCCGATCTCGTAGGTAGGCTAGAGGCCTCACTGACTGCTCCACGAGCCGCTGTCATTATATAGGCCTAGATCTATGCGTTTTCCGAAATTTTTTTTGGGGGTCCAATCTCATGAAGCAAAAAATCAAATAAACCTGGCCTATATATGTCACCATCCGGGGCAAGATATCGGCAACAGTCTCTGTTTTCGGGTATCCGAACTTTCGAGTACTTCATTTTCGTAACGTAGTCTTGAATTCATTAGTTTTCTGTAATAGTTTCTATTTCGTAATGTATTCTTGAATTCATTAGTTTTCTGTAATAGTTTCTATTTTGTAATGTATTCTTGAATTCATTAGTTTTTTGTAGTAGTTTCTATTTTAGCTTTAGAAGAGGTTTTACGGCGCTCGCAACTGCATGCGGTCATATGAGCGCCAGAAGATTAGAGGTGTTACAAGAGAGTAACAAACATAAAAAAAGAAAAAGGGGAGGTAAGGACGATAGATGTTTGATAGGAAAGAAGAAGCTAACCACACAACAGCACCCGCCAACCACCCACTTATTATTGTCTAAAGATCTGGTGATGATTGATTTTGTCTTTCTCATCAAAAATCGCAATACTACCTTAGTTTTCAAGTTATAATCGACAGAGATTCCATAAAACAGTATTCGATACCGGGGCTATCTTCCCCCCAACACTGCGGCGTTGCACCGTAGTGCAGTAATTCTCCAGTATTGCACAAGAAGATTTCCCGTCCTTTCTATCAGATCGCCCTCTGAGGCAGCTTATGATGAAAGACAGACATACTGGAGTCTACCCTGCACGTACACGGATTCACTTCGATCTCCCCTGGTGTCCTACCCCTGCACATACACGGATTCACTTCGATCTCCCCTGGTGTCCTACCCCTGCACGTACATGGATTCACTTCGATCTCCCCTGGTGTTCTATGTTTAACTGTTTAATGGTGTATTGAACACTTCACGTCATTAACAAAATCTATACTAGATCTAAACCATAGACTGTAATCGTCAAATTAATCAGAGAAATACAAATGTCTATAGTACATAGATCTAGTAGATCTATGTGTGTTTTGCGTACCTTTCTAGTTTTTATATTTTTTTAAATTGAGAAAAAGAAGTTTGAATAACAAGGGTCGGTTTCTTCTCCTTCTCCTTCTTCTTCTTCTTCTTCTTCTTCTTCTCCTTCTCCTTCTTCTTCTTCTTCTTCTTCTTCTTCTTCTTCTTCT